AATAATTCATTTTGTAACAACTATTGGATGTCCTAATAAATAAATAAATAAATTTCTCCATTTGCTTTTAAATGTTTTATCATTCCTTGGGTGCATATCACTAATTATATTCATATCGATCATCTTTTTAGTTTTATTCCATTTATATTCTTCACTTTGTCCATTTTATGACTATGGATCTTCAATTTTAAACCTGTAATCATTAAAATTCTGTAACACAAACTTATCCAAATCTCTACGAACTTTCATCCTATGTTTTTGCTATTACACTATTGTAAACCCTTACCTGTAGCTTTCTTAGTTTTTCGTTTTACTATTTCTAATGATATTAAAGCACTTATTTATATAATTTTTCTTCTTTAATTAATGGCACAATTCTGTCAATATCAAGTGAATAAGTTAATTTCTACGTGTAAAATGAAAATGAAATTAATGAAAGAAACTTTATATAATTTAACACAATTAATTGCTAATTTTAATTGTTTTGACAGATTTGACATCAAAGTTTTTCTTCTTCGTTGTCATGGTTATATTTTATACTCTTCATGAAAATTGACTCACGAGTCAATTTTCATGAAGTTCGAGTTCGTTATTTTTTTTCGTTTCGTTTCGAGTTTGTTATTTTTAGGTATTGAAACTCAGTAGCCTTTAAATTTTTAGGATTCTAAATTGAAATCATTTACTTCCAAATTTAAGCTCGCCTTCAAGTATATAAAGCCTTGTCTTTGTAGTTCTTGATCATTTCAACGGCAACAGTTGCCCAAGTTAACTTTTTGAGCTCGTACGGAGCAAAATTCTTAAAAAATCTAAGTGACTTTGAGACCGTAACTCTTCAAATTTACGGTCTCAAAGTCACTTGACACCATTTGACTTAAGTTAGACGTCATCAAATCTATACTTTACTAAATTTCCTAAGCTACTCTACCACAAACAAACTGGAACTATAATATCCTCTCCTGAAGGCTGTCTACGAGTCTTCACCTTAAGACTCCCCCTTCCCACGCCCCCTTCACCTGACCACTTACACCACTGACACCTATCACTTTTCACTACTCACTTCACCACTCACCTCATACCCCTCTTATTTATTTTTTATTTATTGTAAATAAACTATTGAATTGAATTTATCATCTTTTAATCTTTAAGTTAATTTTCCCTTATTTCATATCATAACACATTTTATTCCTTATTTATTTTTCCTAACTACCATTTTTTGCCTGGAAGAAATCGCTCTGTCGGTAGTTCTGTCATTTGCTTTTATACAAAAAATATTGACTAAATGAACTGTCGAAAAGCACAAAATGAGATAGATAGATCAGTTTGTAACGGTGCGTCGTACCACAGTTTATTTCGCCCCAGGTTTCCGCATACAAACTTTTTGTCTTTGATATTCAACATAATTTCTTTTTATTATTCATCTTTCGTAATTTGAAATTTTGGCTAATCCAATATGCTCTTTATGAATGTTAGTTCGTAAAAAAACTTCTGTTGTGAACATGTTATTGTAAATCGTATAAATTTAAATATAAAACAATTAATAATAATTATGTTATTATAATTTAAATAAGAAAATTGTTAATCTAAAATTATATGTTCGTGAAATATCGTCCAAGTTTATATATTACAGAAAACCCGGAAACGGGGTATGTATTTATTCTATTTAACAATTGTAATTATATGTTTAGGTTTTCATACGAACTATTTTTATATTCATTTTGTTTTTTACAGTTTTCTTTTCCCTTTTCTTTATTACCGTATAATGAAATCAAGTTCTCAAGCTTAGTCAGCCTTTCGTTTATTCGCCCAAGCATCAAACCCATCACAAGTTTTTGTCTTCATCCCCGGCCTTAATTAACCTTACCAACGACTAACTTTGTCATTTTACCACACACAGACACACACTGTTTTACTATCAGCAAACTCAGACCTATTTTAGCAAAAATATCTAGGTTCCTTCTGGGCCGCCTCATACCATCGTAGATCCCATTATAAATTGGTCCAGTGGTTTTGGAGACTAATCGATGCTAGCATAGATTAAAGTTATCAAAGAATTTAAATGTCGATACGAACTACATACGAAGCTGTGGAAACAATTCTATTCGTTCAAACTGAGCGTGTGCGAAAAGCCCCGAAAATGGCTGGCGAAATTCAATAACCCTTATAAACTCTATTCAAACTGCCCGGCGAGTGGTCACTCCAAGCTTGAAATTCCCTGAACTCCTGAAATTACTTATGAATTCTATTTTGATATAATGTCCGCTTTGTTTAAAATTCTTTCAGCGTATAATTTACTTTGGCAAACATCAAGTAAACGCTTAGCGATTGATTAAAATTAAATAAGCTGCAATTAAAAATGAGAAACTTACATCAATGATGTATTAATAGTTTAGATGGGTTTTCTGCACACAACATTGACAACAAAAAAGCAAAGCAATTGCCTGAGTTTGACTTTAAGTCACGTTTCAGCAAGGGCTGTGACTAATGTCATTTTCACTCGTAATTTACTGTGAAAAGTTCCAAAAAAAATGATTCCTGCGTGTTTAAACAATGCACAAAATACACAATGACAATGAGAAAAACAAAAAATATATCATTTCATGCGTAAGTACTTACTGTTTTTTATTTTAATGAAATATTGTACGTCATTGACCACGGCAATTTTTCGTACATCGTATTCTATGAGAATGCAGCAGTTGACACATATAACAAGTATGTTTATCTCGTTCTAAAAAGAGGTACGCTGAAGAGTCTGATAAGAGATAAATATTTTTGCTTTCTTCGCGACCTTTGTGGTTGTATTATAATGTAACTATCACAATAAAGTTCACGCCGTTTTAAAACGCAATAATGCACGGGTATAACGTGTCTGTCATTATAAAAACAATAACAATCACGAGTTCGACGACGAGAGCAGCGCTGTCAAACGTAGAATACCTTAATTGCCTTTAGAATAGGTTTTATTTGATTTAACCTCTACGCTATGACAGCACTTCGCACTCGACGTTGTCGAGTTATATCCGTACATTGTTGCGTTTTAAAACAACGTAAACTTTATTGTGGTAGCGTAACATTATAATGCAACCGCAAAAGGCGCGAAGAAACAAAACTAGTTATCTCTCTATAAGAATCATACAGCATACCTCTTGTAAGAACGAGATAAACATATTTGCATAATTTTGAAGAAAAAAACACCGCATTCAATGACGTTTTACAATTTTTACTAATATGTATAAAAAAGTGTAAGTACAGTACTTACGCATTAAATTATATCTTTTTTGCTTTTTTCATTGTCGATGTGTAATTTGTGCATTGATTAAACACGCAGGAAGGCATTTTTTGGAACTTTTTACAGTAAATTACGATTTGAAAATGACATTAGCCACAACGCTTGCTGTAAATTTTGTGCGCAGATAACCCATCTAAACTTTTTGATACATCATTGAAGAGAAGATGATAATAAACATGAGCTTAATTTGCTGCATGTGTCAGTCAACATGTATTTATAATATTATTATTGTAATACTAGTCGGCTAACAGCCGCTGAAGAACTACCTCCTAAAAATATTTCAACATTTTATCGATGTACTGCAACATTATGCTGTTTCTTAGAAATTTTCAAATTAAACTAAATGACAGATGGCATAATTTCATACGCATATTATATTCCCCGGAACACATACGCCTTATCCCGAACAAGATATTTTAACGGAGACTGATTACCGTACTCATTCTTAGAAGATATCTCTGAATATATGACGTCGCTTGACGCAAGCTCACTAATATTTCTAACCGGGTTTATCTGGAATTCACCTGGAATTTATATTTATTACGGCTTTAGTGTTTATTGGTATTAAGAGTATCAGTAACTTGCATATTTAAATTTTGTTTATAGCAAGCAAAGACGTGATGAAGGTATATAGAATTTGGTTAATAAGACTAATTTTAAGTTACTGCAATCATCAGTTTTCATAGTTTCCTCTAGAGTTTTATGTAAATCAAAATAGCATAAATTTTTTAACAAACAACTGTGTTAGCACTACTTTTCGCATAACAATAAACATACCAGATACTTGTTGTATGTTAATTTTGTATAATAGTCCAATGAGCTGTATAGCCAATTAATCTTTATTATCATGGATAATACTAGTTAGAATATTATGTAGATATTCCTATTTCTATTTTCCTCTTCTTCGGTTCCATCGTCATAAATCTTTAATATTAAGTAAAACTATTATTAAAACAAAATTATATTTCACTTATTATTAAACTACGACGTGATTACACCTGAAACAACATGACTGACAGACCTTTCCAACAGTACGCGTAGAGATAGCAATCCCACTGGATATTACATCACTGTCAAGCCATGAATTTCGTCACAGATGAGTTATGGGGCCATCCGTCCTATTCCCGATGCTTCCCAGTTACCCTGACACCCCCAGGGACGTAAGGCACAGTCGTGCGTACGGCTATTTTATTAGGAAAAAGATGATTTGTATATATAACCCCTATCGTTGGAGTACTTGCTTTATTAAGAACTCTTTTTATATCAGTACATTCAGACGGAATATTTATTCATATTGCTACTCCAGCTTTGTTCTTTTATTAATGTAAATAAAATATGAGACAAAAATCATGAGTAAACTCCAAGAGAAATTTCGCTTTTATTGGAAAAAGAACAATTTCATTTCTCTGTCGTGATGCTAACAAAGCAATACTTATGCGATTTGCATATTATATTATATGCGAGTTACGTAGTTGATTTAAACATATCTTTAATCAAAATCATACTTATATCTCATCAAAACACTTGTATCATCCGTATCATCATCAAATTACGTTACTATCAAAGACTATATCATAGGTATCTCTGCAAATTGGATTAATTGATGCTATTAAACTTTAATAGGATGGATATGGGCTGTCGCACAAATACTCACAGTGTATAGTATAGTTAACAATAGGACGCAAAACTGAAATAGAAAATAAAATAAAACCAATACAAAATGTAAACTTATAAAAACAGTCTTTAATTTATTCGCTACCAATACACAAAATACATGGTATTGCTATACCTCATAACCATAAGTCGAAACGTAAAATATTCCAGTCGCATTACCCGGATTCCAATAACCAGCTAACGTCATTTGGTTACCAGCACAGCTTCCAGCTTGAAAGTTCTCATAAGTATTACACGCCCATGCCAAATACCAATTAGGTTGACCGACGCTAGCCGCCCACAATCGAACACAAGCTTTATGGCTGCATTTAGCACTCTCATATTCTCCATAGCCCGGAATAGATAAGTAAACGGAATGAAGGCATGTAGGCTGTTTCCTTCCTCTATTGAAAAAGAAATCTGCATCAGCTAATACAGCTGTTGTTCCTAAACCTCCAGCATTACAATGGTATACTTCTACATAATCTGCTACACCAGATCGTATTTGCTCATCTATTAAAGCGTTTGAGAAGCACGGACCGGCTGGATCGAGTCCGGTAATCCTTGGTATTTTTTCAGATGTTTTATTGTAATACATAACTCCGGCATACCCTAACATTTGAGCACCAAGGCTGTGTCCTATACAATGAATGTTCTTTGTAGGGTAACCTTTTTCATGGAGTCCCGCAAGGAACTGTCCTAGGGCCTTTCCTATATAATAAGCATATGATACAGATCTTTCGTAGCTTTTTACCTTTCCACCATTTCCATTCGTGTATGCGGAATGGTCTATCATTATGAGGTATATATTTTTGACATCTTTAAAGGTTTGTCTGATCAATTCTTCGTTTGGTTTGTATATATTAGATTTAAATCCAGGTACATAAAGTATTAGTCGTCTTGACACATCTAAATTGTATTGAGACGTTATCCCATCTAAAGCTGCATCTATTTTGAAAGTAAAGTTCATCTGGTTTTGAAAATCGTATAGATATATCTGCACTTCGTCGACTGACATATTTGCATTTTTATCGTGTGTACCTACAAAGTGGAATTTATGAAATTATTGTACAGAAAATAACATAGTACTTTAAATTTTGCGTTACGACATAACAGCCAATATCCTTTGCAAGCGACCAGTGTTTCAAATGTAATGGTATTCTAAGACCTACGGCCTGTATTACACCATACATACATAAGTCGATCTAACCTCATATAATTAAAATATTCACTTAGTGGTGAACGTAAATCTAAGTCATTTTGTTTATACATCATCATCATCATCATATCAGCCGAGAGACGCCCACTGCTGGGCATAGGCCTCCCCCAAAAATCTCCAACGTGATCGGTCCTGCGCCTCCCGCATCCAGCAACATACATTTGTTTATACACAAAGACATAATAATGTTTATCACCATACCAGGCACTTTCAGTATGGTCACTATAATATAATCCTGAAGGATAACATCATTTTATAACCTACATATAGTTATATCTACGTTTACGGCTGAGTTCATCTATCTATGTTTTGTTCTTATAATAACATCGATTAAAATTATTTATTATCTGTACCGATGAACTACATTCTGGCTTATAAATTGGGCTTCGACTCTAATACCTTCGAAAATCCTATTAATATTATATATCCGAAAGTTTCTTTGTTTGGATGTGTGTCCGCCAATCTCGGCGAAACTACTGAACGGATTTTGATGAAATTTGGTATAGAGATAGGGTATTAGCTGACTTAAATATTTTTTATCCCACTAAATACTTCTTTAGGGACCACGCGGGCGAATCCACTGACGAAAACTAGTAATACCATAATATCCTTTTAGTGCAAAGTGAAAGATAAATTTAAAAAATGTCTTTTCCCATTTATTATCATGCATTTGTTTTGACTTATATTTCTGTCACCTACCTTTTAGTTACATTTTCCACTAATAAAAACTGCCTTTCATAAACTGCTTTTATAATATTCCTAATCGGTATGATTATTATCTGAACTGTGATTTCGTTTTGTTTCTGCTTTTATAATAAGAAATAATTTAGTTACTTATCTTAAGCTCAGAGCAATGCAGCTGAGGTTATCGATTAGTTGTTTTTATAGTTATGATTTCTTAAGAAAACAAACATTTAACAAAGATTTCTTTCATAATGTACTATTTTTTTACATTAAATAAAACCTATTTTGTATCTAAATATTTCTTCTCTAGTTGCTTGATTCTAAAGGTGGCGCTGTAGCACAGACAGCAAAGAATGAACACCAACTCGAACATTAAATACAAAGAAGGAGATGGGTGTTTGCCATATCTGTATTTGTGTTCGATATTTGCCAGTGATCGGCGTCAGTATAAGTTTTTAACACAAATCAAAAGATGTGTGTGGATATATTTGTGTTGGGTGTTTGCCATTGTTGGCACGTATTTGCTGTTTGTAACAAACATCCAGCGTGCGGCGCTAACATGACAAAAAAACGTTTTTTTAATTGCCTAAAAATATAGTAAATGTTATAAAACATAAAAAACCAATAGAAATAGTAAACTTACATTCTACTAATCCGTACAGAGAAGATTTAAACACAGACCAACTATTTGCACCACAAATACTGGACAAAAACAAAACACTAATCAAATAAAACAGCGGCGACATGATAACCTCGCGGCCGTCTCCTCTCGCGGTCACCAGACGAATGACCGGTTCCAAGATGATATGTATGAGTGATGTATGATACATCATGTTGATAATAACAAGAAGGTTACATGCTTGTTAACAGCATTTATAACATAACTGGGGACTTTTTACCAGTTCACACGTCATCACTCTATGACTATTAAACAGAGATGGGCAAAATGTAATCATAATTAATGATTACATTTAGTAACAATTAGAAAAAAATAAGATCCATGTATAATGAACAAATAAATAAATCTTGTTTGAAGCCTAAGAGTGTGTGATTCATTACAAAAAAAGTTCTCCAGCTAATTTTATACGAGCTACTTTTGCGCATGTGTTATCGACCAATATAAATAAGCCAACATGTTATAGAGCTCCATTGATTTACAAAAGCCTTTTATAATGAATACAAATAGCTTAAAAATCCAATAGACGAAGAAACAGAAAATCAAATAATTTCAATGCGCATTTAAATAAATACAAATACACTTTGCAACTAGCTTTATCAGCTCATCAATCGAACTGTTTTTATTTAGTGGTTTCACCGATGAATCGCTCGAAAATAATGTTATTTTTAGACGAACTTTCTGAAACAAAAACATTTTAGAATGCAAATGCAAAACAAATGTATTTCGATATGATCAAACAAATGAATCAAAACGTTCGTCAAACATAATATTTAATTTCCTCAAAACGAACGTACTTGGTAACGACAGATTACCATGCACTTTATTATAATAATGACACTTTTGGAATAAAAGAACTCTACTACGGCTGTAAGCTTGGATAAAATGACGAACTCGAGAAACTCGATAAATGTGAAAAGTGAGTTATAAATGGGCGTACCGGCGTACCCATAGATATAATAGTGTCAATGATCCAAGGGCGTACTCGATAAAAGATGACATTTGACAAAACCTTTGTCGACTTAGTGAAAGAAACTTCATTTGAAGACTAGAAAGAATTAGCTTCCATTGTGTCAGTAATATTTTTTTTTATTTGTTGTAATAATTTTTTGGCTACTGTTTTATTATTATCCCCTAACAGCCAAACTCCAACATCTTTATCTCTTAATTTAGTATAATACTTATTAATTATAAATACGACTGGTTTAAGAGACCCTCTTATCCGATTCAATTAAAAGTCGGAGTCAGAAAGTGATCAAACCGACTTAACAGATAATCCGATAATATATTCTTTTTTCTCTTGTCACTCTGCGAATCGACTGAGAAAGAACAGATGTGCCAATTTCTAAATGGTCTTTCAAGAATTTATTTTATTTCTTCGTTTATTTTTAAATTTCAGTCTCAAAAGAATTCAGGGACTCGAGGAGGCAATCAGCGCATTCAGTTGCGACTGTGAAAGTTAAGCTGCATTCACAAAGTATGGTTATTGGATGGGTGACCAAAAATTTATTATCTCTAGGTCCCCTGTGCTTCAGAAGGCATGTTAAGATGCTGGCCCCGGTTGTAACTGCATTCGTTTATACCCAGCAATCTGCACTAGTCCCATCCAATGGTGCTCAAAAGTGTTATCCAACGGTAATGGTAAGATATCATACCAGGACCATAGTTACCGTCATATTAATGAACGCAAGAGTTCCTAAAGTGTTAGCAAAAAAAAATACCCTTCATTTGGGCTCCTCTACTAATTTTAATACAGGGCCCCTTGAAGGCACGCTACTACGCTTCATACACTTACATTTAAACAGCTGAACGATATTGCAATTACAAAATATTGTTACATAGAAAATAAATAAAAAAATATTGAACGTAACATTTATTCCTATTACAGTATGTTAGTTTAACACTACGTGGCTAGCCAGATCTTTTTTGTCACAAATAGAGGAGGTTTCATTGTCAATATCAATAGTCCATACACAAACATTGCATCGATACCAAGCATATGGAGGGTTTTGAAAATTGTTTGGCTCCATACCTATTTTATGAAACGCAACCACAGCGATGCGGTCCTCTTTAACGCCCCAATCCATTTTAATATCACGAAATATTTTATAACGTATTGGCGCGAAAATAAGATAAGACAATGAACAATCGTATAAAAATGACAGATTCGAAATTCAAAAGTAATAATTTGTTTATTTGTAATTCAAAAAGTATTTATGGCCAGACTAAGTATATGTGTTCAGTGATAATTCCGCAAATGTAGACAGTTTTACAAAATGCATTTTATTAGACAGCTTATTGACATGAGGTTGTCCCATATAAATTTTATTGAAATCGTACCTACATCGAAACCTACATATTTATTTTTATTGAAAAAGATATAATTTTATACAATCAAATATAAGTATCACTACAATGTTTTTTTTAATTGAATCGTTGAAAAAAAGAAACTCCGCAACAGAAAACTTCCGGCCGACATAAATAGCAGTTTCTTGAATATCATTTTCACTTTTGTGACTATCATCTAAAAAATGCTTTTTTTTAGATGGTAGATAGCTCTAACTACAAATCAAATCTTAGTTCCTCTGGTACACAGAGCATAACTCTTACGTGACACCCGAGTGTCCTAAATAATTTACCAATCTCACTCGCGTTTCTTTCATATCTTATGTTATTTTCTTATTTTTGGAAAAAAATAATTAATATTACGAAAAAAGTGACTAGTATCTGCATAATTTGGTTACATTTTCATTTTTCTAAATATACTACTCGCAGTAGGACTTCAAATAAATGTAGCTTGAAGAAAATAATCTCAAATCACTTTCGTGTAAAAAAAAACTTTTGATCTACTTATGCCCGTTTTCTCTAAACTTTGAAGTCTAATCTGTCGCCTTAATATTAAGCAATTGCCTAAAGTGAAAATGTATTTCACCAACGACTAAGAATCACCTAACGACATTAAGCGATGTCTAAAATTATGACATACGTTACGCGGCGCCTTGCACTAGGCATTTCCCTAATATGTCAAGTGACAGGTCATAAATGTGTCAAAGGATAAAAGAAAAAAAAACGTTTATTTGTAATTAAACTAATCTGCTTTGGAAATTCGTAAGAATAGATATTTCCTAGTAAAGCTATGCCTTGTTCTAGGTTAGTAATACGAATAACTCATTTTGCTTTACATATAAAAAATTCAATTTTATATGTATCTAAAAAAACAATATTGTCTTAACTACTAACATCAAACACATAATAACAAGTACCTAGCGTCTCAAAGTCTGCACTTGACGGCTCAAGTTACCCAACTTGTTTAATATGATCCAAGAACTTGAGTAAAGCCTTTCCCTATTAGTAGGAGCACTCGACTGTGCCGCTGAAAGCCTACAAAGTAATTTATGGCATATTTTGGCGAAGATTCCTTTTGGTCCCCATACTGCCAGCAAATTCCAAATTGACGGATTTATTCTAAACCAAAATATATATCTTACCTATAAGATTAACTAACGAATATTTATAATCCTTAGATTTTATAAATAATTACTAAACTGTGTAGATTATACGATAAATTAAACACTTTATCCAGAGATTAATCATGTAATATTTAAATTAATAAGTGCGTAATGAAAGATGGAGTTTTAATTTAGATTTTAATTTTATTACAAAAACAGACGACATCCGCTAACAAAGTTCAATAGGTAGAATCGAGATCTGCCCCGGCATATCACGATATGCCGCCATTTCTTGATTTGGCTATCTATCATCCGCCATATTGTTTGTTCTATGCTTAATGTTTGACGATTTTCCCGACTATACTCAGGCCAATCGATTGTGATTGTGACCAAAGCAGAGGTGAGCAAGAAAAGGGGTTTTCTCCTATCGCCCATCTCTGCATAAGCAAATAAAATGAAGTTTAAATAGTAAATTATTTGAATGGCAAATTGCATCGTGATAGAATCGATTTTGTAAAAATTACTTTGTCTTAAAGAGGTAGATAATAATCGATTCATTACTCGAGGTCGAGTATATATTATCATATTTTCGTAAATTATTGTTTTTTTTTATTTCATACTAGACAGTGACATAGCATACCGTTTCTTCTTTATAAAAATATATTTATGAACTTCCATATAAACTCATACACACAACTAGAAAGCACATTTTTGATGACTGAACTAGAAATGCTAACTTGTCTTGTGAAAATGAGTGAAACTGAAAGCTATTTTCTTCGTTAGATAGAATCATTGGAGAAGTTCGTGAACGTTTTCAGCAGCTATAGAATTTGACGGAGAAGCTTGCCCATTTTTTATTCTCATCTAATATTATTAGGTCCAGACAACACTAAATGTAATTTTGACTTCGTATTTGCATAGTAATTATTGAAACGCCTTCGCTGCGGACTTTTATGGCTGCTACAAGCAAAAAAAAATAAAGTAATTAATGCAGACTCACTTGAATTATTTAAATCTGTTACAACAAATTTAAACTCAAAGCTCAAAGCGGTTAATATTATAAAAATACTTTGAATATTATAAAAACTATATCTGATCAACGGTGAGTCAACCAAGACTAACCAATTTGGCTTTTTTTTTATTCATTATCTTAATTTCCTATAATAGTCGAGATTTCACTATCTATTTAACTATTTCACTCATCATCATCATCACCAGCCCTTTTACGTCCCTGCAGGGGCTCAGGCCTTCCTTATGGATGGTCAAGGAGGATGGGCCATGACCCTCCACGCTGGCCCAATGCGGATTGGAGGGTATTAACGACTGCAATTGCAGCCGGGACCAACGACTTAACGTGCCTTCCGAAGCACGGAGTAGCTCGAGATAATATTTTTTGGTCACCCATCCCGTGACCGACCCTTGCGAAAGTTGCTTAACGACAACGATCGCGGGCCGCGGTGCTTATCCACTATGCCCCCGAGCTACTTACTACTAACTATTTCTCTCACTTGAATCTTACTATGCGAAAACCACGTTAATATTGCCCTAACCTAAGCAAGCGTGTCATGTTGTAGACTTTGTTAGTATAATAAAAGACTCAGGTTTTTATAAAATTGAACGATTAAATTTTGATTTTGGAAATGCAGGTTTTGTGTTTTTTCTGACTAGTATGTGTCTTTTTTAATAATAATATTAGTTTTAGATCTTCAAATGGTAATAATTAGTGATACCTATCTGTTTTAACAATACCTGTTATTATAAGTATGTAATAATGCAGCGCGGTAGTTTAAAAGTTAATGTAAGATTTTTTATCTACTCTATTACAATATTTATAAACTATTCTATTTAAATTGTATTTTTGTAATGCAAAATAATGAAAACTGTACTTGCGGAAAAGTTCTCTAAATTAATGTACCTATGTGTGCATACCGTCATTAAATTTAATACCCAATCGCTGCGACAATGGCTCTTCATTTAGGAACTTTTAAAGTATGTTCATCGCATTGTACACTACTGTCTATGAATTTTAAGACAATTTTGAGGTCTTTCTTTTTTTGCCGTATTATATTACCCCTCCCCCCTTTGATCCGGCCGTGTCGAATATCTAAGTGATATTAGTAAGGTCGAAGGTCGAAACATCTGTCATTTAATTAACTTGTTTATTAAAGTAAATCCAGTAGACTCAGTTTACGCTACGCCCAACGATTTTATATTTTGTCTGATCAATGCTTTTGATTGATGAGGGTGAGGGGTGTGATGACTGGAACCTGAGACATACCGAATTATTATTTTAGCCTTTAGTGCATTGTTGTCGATAAAACTGTTTAAATTAAAAAAAATATTAACATAATTTATATTCAAATGTTGAGTTTCATTATTTACTCTTTTGAAGACTGTTAGCTGGACCGAACTCTTTTTATACTTATCTATAGTTTTGATAGTTAAGGTATTTGACCACTGAGGTGTCCACGAAGGTCCTCAATCGCCAAATATCTAAAAAGAAAAATTTTACTCGTTTGGTTACTTGTTTAAATCGTCAGTCATCAGTTTTGGCATGATATTCACCTTCATCCACTTTATCCACCTCATTCAAAAGCTGACCTGAGCATATACTCAAAAGAGACAGCAAAAGTACGGAGTACCGGGTACCAGGCGCTTGTGAAACTCACACCGATAGACAAGCGTAGCCGTCTTTAGAGACTCTCTTGATGATAAAGAAATTATTCGCCGCCGGGACGGTAGCGAGAATGCGGATAAGTGACTGATCGTGCTGGTCGGACATTTTCACTCAGTGCGACTTCCACTAGCTCATTATCAACAAAAAGCTGAACATGTTCATCAAATCCTCGTCATCAATGAAATACAACCACGCCTCTGGTTACTGCGTTTCAGGAATGCGATCCCTGCGCTGTTTGGTGTGCTTCATAGATCCAAAACGATTAGCGACTTGCCCCTATATAGAATAGAATAAGAATACAATAGAATCATCTATTTGTTTTTGAACATGGTAGAATGTACAAGATGACAAAGAGTAGGAAAAAATTAATAACACCTATTCAGCTATTCATAGTATATTGGCATACAAATATTTAATTAAATTGTTTTATTACAGCATTAATGTCAAAAAACTTGTTAATTAATAAAAAAAAATATTATTCTATGTAAATTGTTATTATGATGTGTACAATAAAGTGTAAAATAAAGTGTAAAATAAATAAATAATAAATATAAATATAATATCAAAGAATATAAACTAAGTGAGAAACAATAACACACGATTTAAACATCACATATAATATAAAATAATTGAAATATATTTATAGATCCACACCGTCACCCGTTTTGAGTTCGATTATCTGGAACCGATATTCACCACCATCGGCTTGAAAAGGAAACGAATAATGGAACCGCCTTCGTCGAAGCGAATAAGACATTGTGAGGTATAGCGGAAATTGGCACCAACAGCGAAATTTCCTGATCAACTAAGAACTTGAGAGGGGCATGTGAGCTACGCCAAGATGGCTATGCACACCATGCTGCGAAATCGGAGCTCCACACTACTGCTAGACTCTGTGAATAGCTAAATATCTAATCTAGTTGTGAGTGACATACGAGTATATCATCTGAACAGGAGTGACTGGCACACGTGTTTGACGTGTTTTGAGGTTGTTAAGTCAGCGAATATTGCCTTCACTTCTGTCCCGAGGATCCTCAGTCCGAGCTTATAAGCGCCTATTGGTCATTGCAGAGGTCATCCTAGTTGTGGACCCATTACTGCGTTGAGGGATTTGGCCCCATGGACATAGTAGGTTTCCCCGGGCCCCGTTAGCCTGATTCGGATATGTCCACAGTTGCATCCCATCACATTAATGTGGTATTGCCACATAAGGGGAAGATGTCTTCTCAATAATAGCTTAAAGCACCTCAGTTCGCCGTGCAACCTCCAAGAGGCCATCGCAGATGTGAAGGCGCTGGGGTCGTTCCTGGCAGAGCTGGGCTGGCTGGAATAGTATCCGGCCACACATCCTCCACATGCAAAATAGGCGCAATTTGGTCGTCGAGTTGGGGAGACGCCCGTTGAAGAAAGAAGAACCTAATGTACATTCGTAAAAATATCTTTCTAATATTAGTATAGATGATAGAACTTTGTACATAATATTATACATATATAATTTTTTTATCGCGTAATGAATTGTATTTTTTAATAAGTCGCGAGATGAATGTGGGAAGACTTGAATGAAATAAAAAAACATACTTTTCAAAGGAAACTAGCAAAAAAAACACGTTTGTTGTATGGGAGCCCCCTTAAATATTTATTTTATTCTGGTTTTTAGTATAACTTTCACAGTTCATGAGATACAGCCTTAAGACAGGCAAACAGACAGCGAACTCTTATTATTAGAGTTGCCGTTGTACCATTTGGGTAGGCAACCCAAAAAAAACCGTAACATCATTCTTACATTGAGTATCTAATCAAAATAATCTAAGTAACTGCTTTACTATTCTGTAAGAAAGCATCGAACACAGCGTCGATCTCAGTGCTGTTGCAGATAAAACTCCAATAACACAAACTCTTTGTTACCTTTTGAAGTTGGTTTTATTCGATTGAATCTCTATGCTGCGACACCGTTGTACTCGACGTTGACTTTTTTACAGAATAGCAAATATGATCAATTAATCCACAACAACCAAAATACAAGTGCTCTGAAAATATACACCATAGTAACAACACTAACACTCGTTCCTGTCTACTCGAGAGAAGTTATTACATGATAATGTTTTATAAACAAATATTTTACCAAAATATTGGTTAAAAATATTTGCCTATATTATGACCTTTGCTCAAGTTATTACTTCTCTCGACTATAGATACGATACGAGTGTGAATCTCTATTAAAACAACATCTTAATCTAATATAAAGCAGGAACTATAAATATGTGTTTTCCACTAAGGAAATCGATGGGTAATTGAGGTCAAGCCCTCTGAGTCGTTCTATGAGAAACTCTTCAGCTTCCAACTCTAGCTTGGGGTCGAAGTGCTCTTTCCAATTGCCAGCTTCACCTATAAAAAATAATTTTGTGAAATTGAAATTGATCACACCGACACTGCCAAAAGAACGAAAATATTATATGGTATCACTAAACACAAAAGCAAAACATGGCGGAAAGAAGTCATTTAAAATTTAGCTCATTATTTAATTTTTTTATGTTTTTTTTTTAGTAACTCGGTGGCGTAGTTTATAAGCGCCGCGGCCCGCGATCGTAGTCGTTAATCAACTTTCGCAAGGGTCGGTCACGGGATGGGTGACCAAAAGATTATTATCTCGAGGTACTCCGTATTTCGCAAGGCACGTTAAGCCGTTGGTCCCGACTGCATTTGCAGTCGTTAATACCCTCCATTCCGATTTGGGCCAGCGTGGAGGGTCATGGCCCATCCTCCTTAACCATCGTAAGGGACGTAAAAGGGCTGGTGATGATGATGACGATTTAATTTTTTATAAGATAAATAAAACATCTATCTATAACTACACGCCACTTCACTTATGAGGTAAGCAGATAGAACCGAGTGCCACAAGGCCCGGTCCTAACATATGTACATCTTTCGTCCCCTCCGCTTTCATTACTCTTTCATCATTCATACATGTCGTCATAATCATCACCATCGTCATCATCACCATCACCACCGTCATCATCATCATCATCGTCGTCGTTATCATCATCATCATCTGCTCTTTTTTAGGTTCCCACTGCAGGGCTCAGGTCTTCCATATGGACGGTTAAAGAGGATGTTAACTGCAAGTGCACCCAGGACCAACAGCCTAATGTGCCTTTCGAAGCACGGAGTAGCTCGAGATAATATTTTTTTGGTCATCCATTCTGTTACGAAAGTTGATTAACAACAATTTTCACAGGCCGCGGCGCTTGTCCACTACGCCACAGAGCTACATTATAGTATTGTTAATACATCGAGAGTGGTTTTACCTTTTCTGATGAACTGTACGCCATCATCTCCGATAGTGTTGTTAACTTTTTTGTTTTTACGTAGACTATCGAAGCTGAGGTGATGTGCTAAATTCTCGATCTGTTCATCAGAGTACTTCCGACCGAGGAATGTGCACAACCGGCGGATTTGATTAGGAAGATTCTGTTTAAAGCACAGTTTATGTTCGATTAATATTTTTATATTCAAAAATAATGAGGAACCCATTTCGTTAAAGACAGTTAATATCAGTCAATATAATTTGTCAATGTATAGTGATTGTAATATCGATTTATAGGGTACCTAACTATTATGAAAATAGAAGTCCCAATTTGTTAATCAGTCTACCAGAGCTAATAAGGCACGAAAATAATAGAAGTAAGTTTAATATCCTTCTCAAAAAAACATTTATTAAGTATTATTAATATAATATGTATACCTAAGAATAATTAACTTAATATTAAATGTTTATAAATTAACTATCATTTTAAGTTTGAATTTTGTCAAATAACTAAAATATATATTAATCTTACCCACAGTCAAACTATAAAATAGTTTTGTGGGACCTTTGTTAAATGTAATGTATGTAATTTGAATTTATATTAAAGAATAAAGAGAACTATCTAATTATGAACTCACTATCGCTTTAGGAAGAAATGGTGATGTAAATGATCTTAAAAAAACTTAGTTAAAACTTTTTGAACCTGTCAAAGGTATTGTAGTTAGCATTCAACTCTTTCGTTTAACACTTTCCAATAGCTTTCAACCATTTTTAGCTTTAGGGCTTAGACAATTCCAATTAACATCAAGTCATCTAAATCGACGATATCTTCTAAAAACTTACGTTGTAGAGTACGAATCGTATTGCGATAGGTTTTATAACTATAGAATTAGACCCCACTTTATTTAGAAAGAAATCAACGAGAGCGGCAGCAATAAATTTTACAGCAAGTTTTCAATACCTTAAAGCTTCTTCTAAAAAGAAAAACATAATTTCTCAATTGGATTACCCCATGATTATGTCAAAAACATATACAGGTAGGAGAAATTTTGTACATACTCAGTGTATGTGATGTTGTCTTAAAAAACTACGAAGGAATCATATAGATAAATCTTGTATAATTACCTCAATCAAATCTTCATAAAAAACGAAATGTAAGTTTCTATGATAACGCTTCACCCACGCTTCATTCGTATGTGCCACTATAGGTGTCCAAGGCACTGAAAAACATTGTTTTTTATAAATTGACAATATAGCCAGTTAATTAATGAGTAATTGTAACCCTGATGGCAGTAAAGAGGCTAGTCATGCTCAAAAACGAATACTGCTTGTGGAGATCCTGTAGACTAATTACTTTTCTTGTTTTATGCAAACTGTATTTTATATGAGACCAATTCAAATATAAATAAAATATGACATGGTAATTCATTAATTAATAAATTATCTATTTTATAGTTACACATAGCTTATTCAAACGTATTGAAAACGACGACAGCTGTTAAGATTATACTTCTTGACAGCCAAAACTTGTTATAAATTGATGCTAGGAAGAATGTGTTGAACAATTTTAAAGTAGGAAATATCACTTAGTACTTGAGTCAATACATTCGATTTAGAATTCCACTTTCGTCTCTAAATTTAAACTCATGAGCAAAAGTTTTGGGTCATTTAGAAACACTTCGAGTACTCCCAAATAATGCGAAGAAGTTTTTATTTTGACTACGAGGAAAATCAGAAAGAACGTTAAGAACACATCATTAGAATTTCTCTTTTATCTACATCTCCCATCCCATTGAAATACAATGAGATACGTTTGATCTTTGGATGATACGATTTTACATGACCCGGAAATTTTGCTCGTCAGTTTAGATATCAAACCTTCGCAGACTTACGCAGATCTCTCCTGAACGCTTCCCAGAAATGATGGAACTGAATCTTGAACAGATTCTTGACGACCATTTTGTGCAGGAAGTAGTATGAGACGCACACATCCCTCGGATCTCTCGCTACGTACACCACTTTAGCCGTGTCGAGCAAAGATGGAGGCAGTAGCGACAATGGTAAATGGGTCTTTATGTATCGTGGTGATGGGGCTTTGTCTATTGTTTCCCAACTGGACTCTCGCACCGCGCTGCCAAGCCCTTGGAAGCTGCTGAGGTTCATAAAGTTCATCTTTATCAATTCGAAAGCGATGTCCGGGATCTGCGTTGTAGTTCTGGGAAGAAATAATTGTTATTGTAATTCCAACATTGAATTTTACACGATTAAAATATTATTCAATCAAGAAATATATTATAAGATTTGTTATTAGGTACTTTAGTCATTATTGGCTCTTAAAATATTGTCCCCGAGTTAATTTAGTCGCTGTTAGCTTTTCACCAAATTAATGTGAAAAGGAAATTACAGATTTCCTTGCCTGTATTCAAATCCCCGGGTGTTCCAAATGTATCCTTCAGTGCGAAGAAATCAGAGAAGTAATCCTATTAATATTATAAATGTGAAAGTTTCTTTCTTTGGATGTTTGTCCGCCAATCACGCCGAAACTATTGGACGGATTTTGATTAAAATTTGTTATACAGATAGGGTATTAGCTGACTTAGGTAATAGGATACTTGTTATCCCACTAAACATTTTTCCCTAGGAACCACGCATGCGAAGCCTCTGGTGAAAGCTAGTCAGACCATATATCTCATTTTTATCTAATTGAGTAAAGAATTATTGTACGTGCTCATTGTCTACAATAAATATATGTAATAAGCTGATTTGTTCGTTTAATTTAGTTCGTTCTTTAATTCAAAAATTATAATCATGTCGCCATCACCAGCCTCTTAATCTCCCCACTGCTGGGCACAAGCCTTCCCTATAGATGAATCAAATGAAATCGAATAGGTATTATTGAATTAATTTATTGGTTACAAAAATTTTATGGCAAGCAATAGATTCTCTAAACTTTTCTTAACTTATTTCGGCTTTGAGACGCGAGGCCATTTTCACTGGAAGCCTTTGCCTCTTATCAAATTTCACCCTATTTCTAAAAAACCTTAATAAATTGTATACCTAATATTCCTTGTAACACTATAAACTACTTGAAGATACATGTAGTAGTTTTCATAGTTTATACAGACTTAGTGGTGGTCCTATTTATAAACAACTTCAAAATCCAAAAGAAGTAGCTTATATTGTAGACGGCGATGTATGTTTTTTTTATGTATATTCACCATGTCAGCTAAAAGACGTCCTGAACAAGTGGTAGGGGAAAAAAATTTTTGGACGATTCAAAAGTGCTTGTAATAGCCTACTTGAATAAAGATATTTTCATTTCATTTTCTTGGACTCAATAGTACTACGTCCATGATGATCACCGATATTTCCTCCAATTATTGCTCGATTTTCAAAATGATTAACAAATAGACAGTTCCCTAGGAACCACTGGCGAAGCCGCTGATGATAAACTAGTATTTAATATGTTTAGTGTTACCTTTTATATGAAAAATATCAAAATCATGAAATAAAAATAAAGATAGAACTACCTTCAGACTTTAATAAAGTGATAAATAATACTTATCTTAAAAGCGACTTATTCAAGAAAATTCTAGAATGATAGAGGCCCGACTTTTTTGAAGATTTAATTAATAAACCTACAAGAGACCTCTCGACTTCAATAGCATTTTCTTGAATAAGTCGCTTTTGGATAGAAGTATTATTTATATATTTTTTTTTTAGTTTGAAGGCAATTTTAATTTCTTTTTTAAAATTTTGTATTATGAAACTAATGCTATTCTGTAGAAAAACAGCCTCGTACTCTACAATAAACACAGCGCTGTCACACTTTAGAACTTCGATCAAATACAACCTTTATTAACTTTTCAAGTAGTTTTTATTTGATGGAACGTCTACGTTCTGACTGGGTTTTTAAACAGAATAGCGCTGCATAATTCAATAATTATGCCCTTCGAATCTGAATTATAACTTTTTGACATACTTACTCCAACATTGGAAACCTCTCGTGCAACGGAATCCTCTTAGCTGTTTCGTAATCTAAGTCGTTTTCAGCTAACCATACCAGCTCTTGAGTCCATGTTGTGCCTAGAACAATAAATAAAATAGTCTAAGCATTTGTATCTGTACTCTAACGTCCGTGCACATTACTATAGGTAGGGTTTACTCTTCGGACGGTTTATGGTCAAGTGCTGGCCGTTAATATTTCAAATAATTACTTTTTCATATTCGAATTCGCGTGTTCGTGTTTTGCTGGTTGTCAATCTTTTTTCAGATCGAGACCGGCTTAGAGTGAGCATCATAGTTTTTGGTTGTAAGTGTACTAATGTAATGCTAATTGAAAATAAATCAAGACTGAGGAGTTCTACCAGTTTTTTCATTGCGCCACACACCTCCATCATTAGACTAAGTTGCCATAGTACCTCAGCTAAGTTATTAAATGTCTGATTTCTAACAACTGGAGGGGCTACCCTGCCTCCGATTTTGTGTACCCCCAGAAGTGGCTTTACCCGCGTGATCCTGTATTATACAGAAAAACTTTCCTTCCTGAATCTGAATCTATTCAAAACCGAATCAAATTCCGTTGCGTAGCACAGACGGACGAAAAGCGACTGTTTTAAACTATGTAGTGAACACCTTCCGTTATATTCGCAGCAGTACTGCAACCTACCAGAAACTTCCTGATTTGGGCCCTTCCAGTCAAAAACCGGAGTCCACGGAGATCCGGCATCACGGAGAGTGATGCGTATTGGTAAAAAATATCATCGAGTAATAACAGACAAATCAGCGTTAACATATTATACTCACTAAAAACATTAAATACAACATTTACAGTAAATATATATTAGGTACAAAAATAAATCAATGAAAAGTTTACTCGCCTTTAGAGAGGGCACAAGTTCACGATTTAGCTGTAAAGGAACCCTTAGAAATATAACGAACCAGTCCCGCTGACCACGTTACTAGAGTAATGTAATTGTAACTCTTCTGTTAAAGTTTTTGATCTCGTAATTTTCTTTCAGAATATAGATAGTGACAAATAACGTACAAAGAAATCGATAGGCGATTTCATGATATCATATCAACATTAAATAAAACAATATACAAATACCCACTTTGATCTCATACAATTTTTTATCTAATCTATGATAGTAAGTACGTAAATTCGTACAACATATTTGAACATTCCATTGCATTGTAATGCTGCTGAAAATTCTAGTTTGTTAATTCTTGGTCAAATATAACCTTGGTTACCTTTCGAAGTAGGTCTTATTTTGATTGTACCTCTAAAGTGACAGCGGTTTTTTTACAACGATTTTATATTTTAATAAAATGTGGGGCACAGATAGATCATATATAGAATAGCTCGTAAGCATTTTATTATTCTAGAGAAATGTATGGTTTTCGTGTGTTATGCAAACGGAAAACTGGTTTCATATATTTTTAAAAGTACTATATTTTATAGCATATAGAATATAGTATATTTCCAATACTATATTTCGCCACCAAATGTTGGCAACCATAAATTACTATTTACTTTGCATGTAAATAAGCAATTATAATTCGTATTCCTCGTAAACTTCGTATTTAACGAACAAGCTCTAACAGAATATTAATCTTGATGTCTGAGACATGGTCTTGCAACGGTGATCTGTAATAAAAACAGTCTCGGAAGCAACGACGAGCTCTGCGCAGGCACTGCACACTCGAGTCTACACACACAGTGACTTGCATTTCTGTCCAAAAAGGATTTAATCGAATAAAATCTACTTGAAAAGAAAACAGAGGTGTAATACACCAAAATGAAAAATCATTGTTCAGCCTCAACTGCACACTGGAAACTAAACAGACGCCTGTATCACATAAAATTAAATGACAATGCTTTTCGCAGATATTGCCAAACCTGAAACTAACCTGAAACACCAAAACATCTCCTGTGTGAATGTAAACCATTGATCCACAAACAAAGCACACATCTGGGGCGACACTATAACCAGCCTAGAAGTTGCAAAAGCTCTAAAAATGAAGAACATCATAGAGATTTTGGGAGGATACCGAGCTGAAGCAGCGATTAAAGTTAAGGTGGCGAGTCACAATAGATTTTTAGATCGCATTGGCTACTGTTCCATAAGAAACTACATATCCCCTTAAAATTACCAATAACAATAATAATATTTCATTGAAGCTGTATGCTGTCACAGCGCTGAGCTTAATGTTTGAGTTCAAAGCTGTTCTTCAACAGAATTTAATCTGCTTATGTCACAGTTATTATTGTTATACTGGTTACCTTAACACCACTCCATATAGCGATATGTCCCGATAAGCTAATTCACTCAATAGATAAAACTTGAGTATCTCTACGCCACGGCAAACTTCACCATATTTTTGGTAAAGTCGCTTCCCGCTGTATGTACTTATGCTGAAATATTTTAAACTATAATACAAAAGCGATTTTCATGTGGCTTTCATTGATATACAGGTGATTTCACAGACGAAGCCTTTTTCTAGCGGAAAGGTCTTGTGAAGAAATATAAAGTGAAGTATTCCCCCACTGCGACCTCTAAATTCGCCGCAATTAATAAAGCACACAGCACAAAATCAGTTATGAATTTAGTTCGCCATAATTCCCGAGATACACCAACTAGTTTTTCAAGCTTAACAAGATAGTGTTTTTCTCTTTTGCCCAGGTTTTTCGTCGCTAACTTTTCGAGCTAGGATAGCAAACCAGGCCTGGGGAGCTGGTAAGCTGATGCTATTCTTGTATACAAAACTAGCTTCTTTTCTAAGTTAAGCTTAGTAGTAAGGTAAAGGAACTAACTTGATAGTTGACTAACATTTCCAGGTTTGAAAAACTAAACTCGTGTACCTGTGTGTGTTTAAAAAAACAGACGCGCGAAAATTTCCGAGAGATCAAGTTGTAACACTGCATCGGTTACTAACATATAACTATAACTCCGATAGATATGCCATGTTACACATATGTAAAGTTTGAACGGGGATAGAATAGAGGAGCTCGATGGCGCAGTGGTTAGCGCGCTCAGTTTGCGATACCGATGTTAAGCAACTTTCTCAATGGTCGCTTTTAGGATAGGTAACAAAACTCGAAGTCCTCCTTGTATCGGAAGGCATATTAAACGATTGGTCTCGGCTGCAACTGCAATCGTTAATACTCCCCAATCCGCACATGGCCCATTCTGCCTATGCGATTCCATCCATAGAAAAGCGCTGAGCCGCAGCAGTGGGGAAATTGATAGTCTAGTCATGATGATGGAATATTTTAGCACGATTATATGTATATTTATGGGTGTTTTATATATTACAGGCTACTCTAAGCCATTTGTGAAATGCGGCAAGGCTGGCTGCGTGATGCCCAGCTCGTTCATCAAATATGCTGAGACGATATACAACATTGAAGCGCGACCAATGGGTTATTAACATTCCCGAGATTAGGTAATTATATAACCATTGCAACGGTTACTAACATATATCTATAACTTTCTATAACAATCATTTGCTGTGCAGGCAGAAAAGAGAGCCATAAAGGCTCAGATACACTGGTCGACAACGTCACCACGCAGAGCGTCTGCCACCTGTACGGTCTTATCTCATTGGACCGACCGATGAAAGTGAAAAAACCGCCTGCAACCCGCACGAGGACTTCAACGATCAGTGTAAATGCGCTATAAGTCATGATCAACGTACGGCCTTTAATTACATGTAAACATACTTGTAAAATCAAATCATTTGTCTCGCTTTTTTGAGGTTTATAACTGCTTTCATCCATGCTCGCCGGTTTTTATGACTTTTGACGTCACATTTTGATAGCAAGCGATCACTTTGATTGTAAAATGTGTTATACCGAAATGAAATATGTGAAATGAAATGAAAATATCTTTATTCGAGTAGGCTATTACAAGCACTTTTGAATCATCCAAAAAAATTTTTTTCTCCTACCACTTGTTCAGGACGTCTTTTAACTGACAAAAAGAACAAGCGAAAGAAACTTACCAGCTTTTTATCATAAGTAATGACATTTACATAAATCATGTCATTACCAAAATAATATGTATTATCACAATAGTAAATACAATTTTCAAAGTCTGTAGGACATAGTTTGAACATATAATTAGTCTTTATAGAACAAAGCGAAGGCTATTAATTCCATGCATTGCGATCATTAAAATAATCATCAACTTTATAAAAGCCTTTACTCATAAGTATATTCTTTACATGAATTTGAAATTTATTTATGGGTAGGTCAATTACATTTTGTGGAACTTTATTGAACATAGCAATACATTTACCCAGAAATGAACATCTGGTTTTTTGAAGTCTGAAGCTTGGAACGGCAAGTTTATCTTTATTTCTTGTGTTAAGATTATGAACACTACTTTTTTTTTGTGAAGGAATCGTAATGTTTTCTTGTGTACATAATATTCTTATAGATGTATTGAGAGGCAACAGTCAGAATATTTATTTCTTTAAAAAATTCTCTGAGAGATTCCCTAGACCGTAAATTATATATAGCACGGACAGCTCTCTTTTGTAAAATAAAAATATCCTGAATGCTAGCCGCAGAACCCCATAACAATATACCATACGTCATTACACTATGAAAATAACTAAAATATACCAATCTTGCCCTTTCAACATTTGTCAAGAGTCTAATTTTCTTAACAGCAAAGTTGCAGAACTCAGTCTACTTGACAAGCTATCAATATGAGGATCCCATTGCAGTCGGGAATCTAGTGTAATACCAAGGAACTTTGTCGATTCTACTAACTCAACTTTTTCACTATTTACATTTATAAGTGTACTGACATGCCTCACATTAGGAAATGCAAACTTTATGCATTTCGTTTTACTTGAATTGAGCTTTAAATTATTATTATCAAACCATTGTAGAACATTGTCGAGAGTATTATTTACATCGTCAAAACAATCAATACCCCTCTCAACTTTAAACAGTAAAGAGGTGTCATCTGCAAATAATACTGTCTCGCACAAATTCTTCGTAAAGTGAGGAAGATCATTAATATAAATTAGAAAAAGCAAGGGTCCTAATATCGATCCCTGAGGTACGCCCCTAGTAACTGGTGCCCCTGCAGATGTAATTTATAATCACCACTACGTTATTGACCAATAAGATGAGCACGCAGAGGTCGCCTGCACTCCAAGTGTTGACCTCATCGTGAGCAAGTGCTAGTATTGTAATTTATAGGTAGGGTAGAACACCCCCAACACGGCCCGACGCTCACGTTGGCGGATCCTGGGTTCTCCACCCCCATATTCCTAAATGTTGGATTACGGCAAAACTAATACCGTTGCGTTGAGAGCTGTGATGTGTCAAATGTTGGCTTACAGCAAAACTAATACAGTTGCGTTATGTGTGTATGTAATACTTAATATTCACGTCCTCTTAAACTTCAAAGAGGCCAAAACCTGGTCACAATCTTAAAATGGCCAAAACTGGTCATCTGCCCTACTATAAAGATTATTAATTACCTGATCTCGGGAATGTGATGACCCACACGTCGTCTGGTCTCACTTTCATGTTGTATATAGTCTCAGCACATTTGGTGAACGAGCTGGGCATCACGTAGCCAGCCTTGCCGCATTTTACAAACGGCCTAGTGTAGCCTGTAATAAATAAAATACCCATAAATATACCTATAATCATGCTAAAATATTCCATCATCATCACCAGCCTATCAATATCCTCACTGCTGTGGATCAGGCCTTCCCTATGGATGGAATGGAATCAAATCGAATAGGGAGAACGGGCAATGTGTGGATAGATGAGTATTAACAACTGCAGATGCAGCCGAGACCAATGGCTTAACGTGCCTTCCGAAACTAGGAGGATTTCGATATTATACATTATTGGTCACCCAACCTAAGAGTGGCCAGTGCGAAAGATGACCTCCGTGATCGGGTAGCTTAAAGATGTCACCGTCTCTGAGACCCCTGGGTCAATATAGAAAATTAGGAAACTTTGGTACATTTTCAAAATTCCATAATACCTATATCCATACTATTACACTGCACAACAGCATACCTGATGATTGGCTTATGATACATGATATATGTCTAATTTTTTATGACAATTCCAAATCTGTAACTGAAATTTTTGTATAAGCTCTTGTTTAAAAAATATAACACAAGGGTGTTTTTATAATAAAATACTACATTTTTGAAGATAGTCCCATTTTATTTAGTTCTTAAGTTGGAAAAAACTTCTTTTTATTTGATTTTCTTTTTGAAGGTGATGGTAGAGAGCTGTTCTGAATGCTCCAACAATAGTCAGCCATCATGTGTGCGTTCCAGTAGCCTTGATAGCGTTCTTCCATCGTACGAATGTCCTGGTGGAATCGCTCACCCTGCTCTTCACTAAGATCCCCAAGATTGGCGGGAGAATATTCCAGGTGGTTGTGGAGAAAGTGTAACTTGATGCTCATGTTACATCCAAGCCTTTGAAAGTGACTCATTAGTTGGTCAATGTGTTGAGAATAGTCAGAACTTTTCTTATTTCCCAAAAAATTTTGAACAAGCCAGACAAACTCATTCCATGCATTTTTCTCAGTATCTGTCATGTTGGCCGTAAAATTCGAGTCTTTTATTAGTGATCGTATCTGTGGACCGTCAAAAATGCCCGCCTTTATCTTTTCTGCACTCACTTTTGGGAACTTTTTTGATAGGAAAAGGAAACAATTTCCATTTTTGTCAAGGCTTTTTACAAATTGTTTTATTAGTCCTAGTTTTATATGTAAGGGAGGCAAAATTATACGATCCCTTGATACTAAAGGTGGGTTTATCACATTCTGTTGACCGGGTACTAGCGCGTCTCGAGTAGGCCAATCTTTTTTAATCCAATGTTGAGTTTTAGCTCTACTATCCCACAAGCAAAGAAAACAGGGATACTTTGTGTATCCACTTTGTTGGCCTAAAAGGAAGTTTACCATTTTTAAATCAACACATATGAGCCAGTTGTGTTCTACATATTTAATTTTGTCCAAAATCAGAGCAATTTTTGTATATTCCTCTTTTCTTTTTGTAGAATGCGCAATAGGCAGCGACCCAAATTTATTCCCATTATGTAAAAGAACGCATTTTAGACTCTGTTTTGATGAGTCTATGAATAAACGCCACTCACTAGAAACGTAATTTTGTAATGCCATTGCAGCCATTAATCCAGGTACATCTTTGCAAAATACGAAGTCATCTTCTTCAGCAAAATATTTGAGGAGATTTTGTTCTCTTGTGCGGTAATAAGAAATTTTAGTTTCTTTTGTTACTAAGTTTCTTTCTTTTAGCCTAGACGCCAAAAGCTCTGAAGCAGACTTTGGCAGTCCCAAATCTCTGATAAGGTCGCTTAATTCATCTTGGTTGAATGGTTTTGGTGTATCCAGGTCACATTCAAACTCACTCTCACTACTGTGTGTATTTGCCTCTAAATGCACAAGCTCATCCTGTGGTGCACCAGCTTGAGGTTCAGGGGATATGTTAGGGCTCAAAACACGTCTATATGCCGACCGTATGCAAGGATATTCCCACTTAGCTCGATTTTTTCGGTTAATGCCAGTAATGTTCACCAAACAAAAATAACAATCGTCGTGGTGGTTCATGGGTTCTTTCCATACCATAGCGGTTTGGTACCTAAATTTATTCCTTTTCTTATTTGTCCACAAACGTAGAAACTCAACGCACGTTTTGCATACCTTTTGCGGAATCCAAGGCTTATTTTTCATTTCCAGTGGATGACCAAAGTAATTTTTGTAAGCCTTATTTACGAAGGCTGTCACATTTAAACGGCATTCTTTAAACATATACTCTCCGCAAATGAAACAAAAATGGTTCGGATCATTTACACAAACTCGACTTGACGATGCCATACCAAATTATATTAAGAAAACTTCTTTTATTTAAATTATCGGCAAAATAACATAAGAGAACAGTCAGTTTGGGGTGAAAGCTGTAACTCGTAAACAAGAACTGTAGCAAAAAAAATGAGGGTTTATTTAGAATCAGCGGGGTCAAATTAGTAAACATCATATGATAAAAGTCATTCATCAGAAAAAATATTCAAAGAAGAATGGCGAAATCAGACCCCATAATTTACAAAACCGTACATGGATGGCAATATGACAAATAAATAATATATGATTAATTGATTTTATTTCTTCAAATTGATGAATTTTAATGTCGGGGAACCAAACTAAAATATTAAATGCTGCTAATAATTATCAAGATAACAAAACGTCTGATGATAGTGCAAAAACAAAACGCGAAAATCTTCTTATGAAACGTTCTGGTCTACGCAGAAGTACTTTAATAATAAAACTATATCTAATAATAAAAGGGTCATCTATTTTAATGGATATTATCGTTTCCTGTACATAACAATTAATTCTATTGCCTTTAAAGTACCATTAATACGCTTAATAATCGAATTTAAATTCAAAATAAGATTATATAGAATAGATTCCGTTCTCTTTAATTGAAAACCACACAATATGTCAAAGGGTTGTAGTTTGGATGGTTTTTGAAAAATCGATCACATACATCAACGATGTCAGAAGCGATTCTCAACTAATCGCGAGTTTTTTAAACATGTTCTATAGAATATTATCTGTCGTCATTAACTGCTAATAATAAGTGAGATATGTGATTTAATGATGCGTACCGACTGAGCGAATGAACGTCAAATATATATTCAATATAAAATCTATATATAATATATTATATGAAATACGATCTTTGAATACTTTCATAAATATTTATTTTATTTGTTCAAATTACGAATTGAATACTTGAGAAATAAAAAAATTGAAAGCTAAGATACCATAACCGATTTAAGAAGATTATTGCCAGTTCTGCAGTTGATTCGATGAAAGGTTAACGTATCGATTATTTTGTTCTAAATAATCGATTGGTTGATTTTATTTTGACATACTTGTTTTCATCTATGAATGTTCTATGATGATGATGGTGGAATGATAGCGGATGATTAGTTTGGTTTGTTTGTTGGAGTTTGATATTTATGTTAATATTCAACTTGACAATTAAGCATGTTTCTTTGACTAACGTTGATAATTGCATTACTTTTGGATTCCGAATGGCAATCGATTCGGTATATCAATGACAGTTCAATGTGTACATTGCCCTTATTTGTCACTTTCAGTTGTAATTATTTAATTAAAGGCAAAGGGATCTACTCCACACAGTCTAGTCATATGTTATAAATGTTTCATCTATTATAAGTGTCTGGATCTTGTTAGATATGTTACTATCTTAATCTAGTTTATTAAACGGAGTAATCTGGTTACCATTTTTATTTATTTTAACGGCCATTCAACGAAAAAGCAAAGATGCAATATATAACCCCACAAAGTATTTTATGCCATATCTTTTTAACCCCAACTTTTAAAGGAAAAAGACGATTGGGATTTTGTTACTTTAGTTTATACCTTCAAGTACACGTTTATTTCATTCATGAACGGGACTTTAAAAATTCAGGTCCAAAGCTATATGGGAGTTCGCCATTGTTCTTTGTGAATCTGTGTTATAAAGAGGTGACGATTCGTCTGCCTGTTTGTTTATTCGTTCATTTGTTTTTCATTCATCCACGGAAAGCTACATCATATACCATGAAAATACGCTATATTTTATCCCGAAAAACTGCAAATATAGGGATAAAAATGGGTGTGGATTTTTTATGGGGAATTTAAACGTTACCATAGCTACCATTATTTTCAATTCAATTGGTCATTGTAAAACAGGCGGGCGGGCGAAGCCGCTGGCGGAAAGCTAGTGTTCTTATAAATTGGCATTTGGTTCTGCGCACGCACAGCGGAGTCAGCAATAGAGTCCCATTTTATCATGTAGGTACAAAACTTTGAAAACTACAAAGGTGGTTAACAAATAAATAAACTCCATTTGTTGCTGGGAGCCAAATGAAATTGTATTAGTTTTTAAATTTATTTCCCGATATTTCTTTTCTATTTTATTGTTATACTACTTATTATGTATGAAGGTGAAGGATTTTTTAAAATCGGTCCGGTAGTACGGTGCTTATTCATCTTTGTAACAATAGTATAGATAAAGTACGAATGTTGTACACCTGCGAATGAGTAAACTTAGTCCACGTGCACTTAATGCACCAACATTAAGTACCTATCGCATCACGTAAAGATAGCATCGGATTATCAACCAATTTCTGAATTAAGGTATAAAATCTCATCTGATTATTCTCAATAACTTAAGATTTAAGTTTCACAAGTCAAAATTTTCTAGCTTTAACAAACTGCGAGCTGTTTAAGTGATGTTTAAGTACAGTTTGAGACGATCTTAATTTTAAATACTTTATTCAGAAACCGGATGTTTGACTCTTGATGCTCTTCTCATGTAATACACAACAAAAAAGAACGAATATTTATTTGTTTGTTGTTTCGTTACCGGCTTATTTATATCTACAATTCTGGGACAAAGCCCTTCGAAAGTGACGAAACAATATAAAAAAATATTAACATAAACATTATTCTAATTTAATAAAGTTCTTAATAAAATGTATTTAACCCTTTTTTTAATCAGGCGCATATTTTATAGCTTATTTTACCTAAGGGCTAATACGGCAATGTATATTATAAAGATAACAGTTTTAAATTATCATGGCGCGTGCTTTGTGTGTTATTTAATCAACAAGATTATTAATATCAACAAAATTTAGTCATTATTGTTGTAAATAAGTAAGTATTACATTGTAATATATATTTGCATATTTTTTAACATTTAAATACTGTCGTAGCATCACATATTTACTCTTTATTTTTTATCAATATGTGTTACGTAACATATGTATTATAATTAATAATACATATTGATGTATTGTAATGAAGTCGATAGCGCAGTGGTTCTGGCTTCTGCGATTTGGAAGTTAAGCAACTTTCGCGAAGGCCGATCAAAGGATGGGTGACCAAAAAAATATTATCTCGCTCCTCTGAGCTTCGTAAGGCACGTTAAGCTCGGTATCGCCTGCATATGCACCACACTCACCGCACACACGCCTTCAGCGTGGTATTTACTGAACGGGCATGCCTGAGGGCAAGTCTGCAGATATACCTACCAGACCTCGTTAATATAGGGCGGTCTGGCTAGTGTAGAACAGTCTCAGTCATTACACAGACCTATAGTTTCTATAGTAGTAGTAGTAATGATTTCGTCCATGGAACAGGCGAAGGTACTAAGCCATACAGCCAAATCTTGGGTAATAGTCTGTATAGTATAGGGCATGCCAAGCTAATGAATTACCCGCTTTAAGGCAAAGGAAACAAACCAAGGCCATCTTTATCTAGAATAATATTAAGATCATTGCACTAATAATATTTTGTTTCTCATACCTATCTACTTAACTACAAGCGACAATTTATAATGACCATAAATATTAAGTGGGAGTAAAATTTATATTGTTTCCACGTGACTCACAGAATCGTGAGTTTTGTTACGTCATTTGCATTCAAAATGTAGCATTGTATTACATCATTGTACTGAAAAGAAAATGGCTTCAGTTTTTATTCATTAATATGGATTTACAAAACAATGTATTGCAAAGGACCTTTTTAGTTACAGCGGCAACATAAATATATCTGTGAAAATTTAAACTGTCTTACTGTCTCGATTCATGAGATATAGTCTGGTGACAGACGGACAGGCGAGTCTCAGTAATAGGGTTTCCGATTTTACCATTTGGGTTCGAAACCCAAAAAATTAGCCAAGAGTGAGTCGCATTTTCAAATACCATTGACTTCATTTTCGTATAATATAGAGGTACAGAACTACCTATAGCTATATAAGTTTTCTTTTTATATTAGACCCTAGCAGTAGTTAGGATCAGATAAATAATAGTTAATTTTATTAAATATAAATAACTTTTGAACAATTTATTTCGAGAATATTAAAAATATATCTTGTGATCCTCTCAATAAACATTTTCATTCGATATGTCACATAATTTAGTTTGCTTTTCATAATTAAACCCCAAAAGTAACCGCATTTTAAAGATGGTAAAATATATTTTATTATCAAGGCTCAAATAATAAAAAAGTTAAGTTAGGTAATAAAAATTAAACGCTAATAAAACAACAGCCTTGACCTCGACGTCAAGCACAGCGCTGTCAAAGCACCAACCAAGGCAACCAAAAGTGTGCGCCAAACAGAGTTTTCTCACCATTTCGAAAACAGAACATTTTGGTGTCCCGTGGGTAATTTCGGGACGTACAAAAAATGGGACGTCCCGTTCAAAACGTGACGTCTGGTCACGATACCTATTTGACATGTTACCCAATTAAAAATTTAATTTTATAATTGTCTCATTGAAAACATCCCCTTTATAAATATTTTTTTATTATATAAGTATATTATCACGAACGTAATCTGCCATTTTACGCCGTTATTTTTACTTAACACATTCACTTATTTATATTTTTAAGACTTATATTTTCCATTTATCTTATCATTTATTCATTAATAAAACTTTATTTACGGAATACGAAACAAATACTAAAGTTTACAAATTCATCTAATAAATTAAACAATTGTATTTCAAAACTCTTTACCTGTACAAAATAGAGTTTAATGTACTGTCATTTATTTTTGTCATAAATAAATACTTAAACAGAAATAATAATACCCATTCCTGAAGCATAGTCATACATTCCGTCCATTGGAAAAAGTAAATTAACTTACCACTTTTTAAATTCGGATAGTAGTCTAAATTTAAAAAAAAAAGACAATTAGGTATATATTCACATTTTTGAATTCAGAACCCCGTAATGGTAAAAAGGATAATTGTATTTTTTATCTTCATTTAAAAAACGATAATGGAATTCACTTTTTAAATTTAGAATAGTTAACATCCATTTACTGAACCACAGAGCACTAAACACAACGCACCTGTAAGACACCTCTTGATGATTTTATCTTCTTCCGCGGTAACTTTAGTTATATCATAGGGCAATTCTAACCACGGCGCCATGTTAACAAGGCAAACTATAACTGTGCTCGCCGATAGAACCCAACGCTTTTCAATAGTGAACAATCTAATCAATAAGATCGCTTGATTAGGTGATAAATCGTGAGAATTGCCTACACAGGCATATCTACATAGACCGCAAAATATATGCGACTTAGTAGCAATTCTTCTGCATTATAAGACGTAATTTACTTTTGGTTCTCAATCGTGAATATAACTAAACTAAAAACGTAAGTTAATTTTTTATGATACAGAATTTATAGACGGAAATAGAAGTATAATTAATTATATATAATTAATTTTTAGACAGTGATACAACAGAATTAGCACGATTATTATAAAATGTAGTTTTTAATTTTTTTGCAAATATAATATTAAATTCAACTTAGTTTTTGTAGATATTGAAAATGCCAACTTTCATTTATGAGGCTCAATGGTGTAGTAGTTGTAGATTGCTGAGATAAAGCAACTTTCAAGTAGGTCAATCATTGGGATGGTTACTATATTTATTACAATTCCTAATGCATATTAAATATATTGATTGAATGAAAATAAAAACTTATAAAAAGATATTCCTATAACGTTAATAATAAGGCTTGTGTCCTACAAGTGAAAATACAGGTGTTTGTATGTATTTAAATTATAATTTTTATGACACTAAATTTGGAAAATATTGCGCTTTGATAACTTGGAAAAAGTAAGGAAGATATACAATAGAAATGTGCTACAATACATATGGCATTAAATTATATAATGCCAACTTTTATTTTAACAGCTATAAATAAATAGCTATAGAGCGTTTTCGGTCGACTAACAGCAGTTTCACAAACACAGAACAATATATACGAACCATTAATGACATGATGTTACTTCTGCATTGTTTCTCAGATATTAATGGTCTATTTATTTATAAAATAAAAAAGTCTAAAAAAGCAATCTGCTCTAAAGATCTGAGAAATCAACTATAAAGATTACTATTTATTAAATGATTATATTTATATTTAAATTTAATATTAAAAAACATACATTGATTATATTCCAAGATGAGTAGGTAACTAAAGCGCCCGTATTATGAAGTATCGGAAACATCGTATGTACATAAACACCCATATATTTTCTATCTTAAAACTATCGTGAATTAAACCTGCGCTCAGACTAACGCTCACCGTACCCAGACCCAGCTGTATGCAACAAGACAGCAGTTTAGATTGATGGGCGCAGATTACTCGATGACGTTGGGTCAACGAGCTGACGTCCTCCCATTTGTTACCCGACGACCTGACACACGACACAGACCATGCTTATTAGTTACATACAAACCCGAATAGTATAAGCTTCTGTATCACGTACACCGCCGTAAGAATAATGTCTGTTCTAATATTATAAAGAGGCAAGTTTGTGATTGAATCGGCTCCGAAATAAATAGACCTCATAGTATACTTCCTCAATATCTCATAGAAAACGATATAAAATTCAATCAGTAAGTAGTAACTAGTTTTCTAGTATTTCAACTACTTAAATATTAATTGGTATAAGTGACAAGCCGCCGGCGGTCTATTACCTACGGCTCTCAATCTTAGAAATTTCACTTCTATTTATTCCCAAAACTAATCAAAAATATGAAGATGAGATAGACGTTACGCTACTCTGGATATCTGACTCTCAAAGTGGACTAATTACTTTGGGAATCACAGATCAATATCGATAAAAACAACAGATGAAACTTATTTCACTTGAACTCCGCTTTCAAGTCTTTTATATTTATTTTTTAATTTCACTTCGAGATCAATATGCGAGAAACCAAAATTCATTTTTTTTCCAATTCCAAAACTCGCTGAGTTAGCGCAAAATTCTCGAGAACTGTCAGTTGATCTGTCAATTAAACCCCGCCCGGCCGCCATGGCCGCTACAATATTGTATTTCCACCGTGAGGTATTGTAGAGTTTTCCCTGTAAAACCGTGTTTTTAATTCTTTAGAAGCTTTAAAATTAATGAGGTTGCATAGAATTTATTTGCAAAAAAAAGAAGACATTAGATAATCGATTTTACACTTATAATTTAAAAAATCAGCTTGATCGTTTTATATTGGCGTAACTAGAAATGACATGAAATAAAAATATCTTTATTCAAGTGAGCTTGTTACAAGCACTTTTGAATCGTCCAATTTTTTTTCCCCTTACCACTTGTTCAGGACGTCTTTAAGCTGACAAGAAGAACAAGCGAAAGAAACTTACCAGCTCTTTATCATAAGTAATGATTTACAAAATCATGTCGTAGCATTTACTTTTGGGCTAGAGCAAAGATAAAGAAACTGGATTAATAAAATTAGTTTTAAATTCTTTTAAATAATTTTGTGTGAGAACTCTGACAAATAATTGTTAATATTTTTAATTCGTTCTTACATAACGCAATCCAATTTATGATTAGTGCTTATTTATTATGTTGATTATTTTTATCGGAATGTGAAATCGGTATTTAAATTGTTTTGTTTAATATAAGATAAACTAGTTCAATATTATTTATGAACAGATATGTATTTTTGATATATTTGATTATATCAATAACTTAGATATTACATATCGCCCTCAGTTACATAGTGACTCACGTATTTATCAATTTTCCCTTCATAAATGTATTATTATGAGAAGAAATTATGAATTGCAATGGTTTTTTTGTGATTTTTTCTGAAGAGAAAATTTAATAAACTTGTGTTTCTACTCTGACAAAACCCATCAGATATAAATGATGTTGTTTTCAAATTTTGAACTATAGTTTATTTGATCGTTATCTCTTTGAACAAATCCAATAGAAAGTTACTTATAAATATATATATTTACACCGTATCCATTGCGAGCAGAGATGTGACTTATCTTAGATACAAGTATTTGAAATACAGATACAAGATACAAAATACGTATTTTCATCTTGTATCTAAAATACTTTTTTTAGGAAGTATTTTGTATCTTGTATTTAAATACTTTTGTTAAGTATCTTAGTATCTTTTAAATACTTTTTCTGATAAAATACTTTATAAAAAGATTATTTCTTACATTTTATAAATATCACAAAACATTCTTTGCCTAAAACATACATATTTACAAAAAGAAAGTGTTTAATTATCAACGCAATGAATATTTAGTTAAAAATAACTCGAATCCAAACATTTTTTGGTGTCATTTAAAAAGTAAATGCGTAGAACTGAACGTACGGTTATACCGGTGTAATACACCCTCCCTAGTAAAAATTGATAGATGGCGCATAGGGCTTGAAATCGAATAACCAGTTACAAGCAATAAAAAATCTTGATTTATGTAAAAACCCGGTTATATGCTTTAAATAAAACTCAGTGTATCAATTAAACTCATTATTAAATTTTATTATTTTTTTGCACATTATACTTTTTCCACTAACAACAGCATTCAAAAAGTTTATTTTTGAAGAAATTTCACTGTGAAATTCGATACATGGCAAATGCTTGAAATTATATCCTGTGAGCAAAGCAATATTGCTTTTATTGACTCAACAGTTAATCTTTTTCTATCTTTTGACCACTGCATATTCATGAGCGAAAAAAAAATCAATATTCGCATTATGAGGCATAATACAAAAAATACTGACAAATCTTCAGTAGTTCGGAAACGAGTGCTGTCATTGCATATATTGAAAATAATTACCCACTGCTTTTCAACTAATTCGTCATTAAAATAAATTTGTTATTAGAAAAAAATCTTCAAATAGGTAATTTCTTTGACATCGTCAATTAATACTCCTTTATTTTTCAAAAATACAACACAATCTGTGATGTAATCGTATTGTAGATTTTGCTTTAATAAGTAACCATTTAATTCAAGGGATGTTTATTGAGAAACAACAAAAAAATGGGCGGAGTCCTGTCTTAATATTAGGTCTTTACCTTTGTAATTGCCGTTCTGTTGTACTAGCCATTTAAAATCAAACTATTTTTTTTGGCTGATAATTCTAATATCAATTTATTTTTTCTAAAATCGTCATTTGTTCAATAGTAAGTGTTTTGTTTTCAATGCATTTGAATATTTTTCGTCGTCATGGATAAGTTAAAAATTCGAGTAATTATAGAGTATGTGTGCCATCGTGGCAGCAAAGCGGCACGCAACATTACAACGTTTGCAGAGCGAACACTACAAACGATCGCACCACCCGTTATTGGTTTACGAAAAGGTTGCTGTTTGGTGGTCTAACGCGGATGTATTTCATCACAGCTTCTTACCAAACAGGACGAGCATTAGGTACTGCAGATTTACTGTGTGTATTGTGAAGAACTGAACACAATGACGGAGAAGCTGGCACAACTCCAACCAGGTATTGTCAATCGTTCGGTTCCACTGCCCCTGCACGACCACGTACGACCTCATACTACACAATTGGCGGTACCCAAGCTACAAGAGCTGGGGTTTGAAGTTCTCCGTCATCCGCCGTACTTAACAGACCATGCGCTTACAGACTTCTAATTCTTCCAGAATTTGGATAACGTCTTAGCGGGAAAAAAATAAATTCCCGAGAGGCAGTACAAAATGCCTTTGAAGTATTTGTTGCCTCCCGTCCAGCTGATTTCTTCAAGAAGGCATCATTAAGCTACCAATGCGTTGGCAAAGATGTATTGATGTATTGATTGGTGATTACTTTGATTAATAGAAATAAGAAAATAAAGCTTCATTTATTTTATTAAAAACGGAAATTTCATAGATAAAGACTTAATTAATACTTCAAATCCGGTTGAGACCGGATTTATCCGATCAGATGGTAACTAATGGCGCATTACCAACAGTACCAGCAATACCAACTCTACGTCTTTTTAGGTACATCTACGTATTATAAGCCTTTCCTACAAACCAACGTACTATAATCAACCACAGAAGCTAAGTATTTTCTACTAAAAATTTTCAAATTAGCTTAACACACTAAAGGGGCATAATTTTCGGTAGTTCTGCAAAAAAAGTTAATATACGTTCCGTTACATACTATCG